ATCAGCGAAGGGAGGCTTTTAAGGTACTGTAAACCCTGTGGGTCAGTTTGACTTGGACATGACGTGTCACTGGAGATGATTCTCCCTCATTCACTACTCATAGTTGTAGATGGTGGTCTTTGGGGGAGAGGGGCAGGTGTGTGTGATCGTTTGAGAACTGTCCAGAGAGTGACCCCTCCCGCCTCACCTCATGACTGCTGGTATGGGCTTCAGCACTCCCAGGGTCCTGAAAAGAAATAATAATGGAGAAGACGAATCAATGACAAGAATAAATGATCATCTTCATGAATTTTTAAATAAAATAAACGTCATAAACCTATCTGCAGTATCTGTTCCCGAGCTTGTGGTAAGATTTCCAGTGTCCTCACTGTAATAATGGATTTGTTGGATTAGCAGTACTGCAGTGTTGTATTGACTGGTTTCATGCTGATTCTACTTCCGTGGGAATGTGTCTCTTCCTCTGCAGAAGCATGAGCGGCAGGCGCAGCAGCATTACCAGCAGCTGCAGAGGAGGAAGAGGGAGGAGGAGGAGAGGCAGAGGCAGGAGCACATGGCCCGGAGGGAGAGGGAGAGAGACGACAGCAAGGGCGACTCCTCCGGAGATCACCACCACGACAAGAGCCACGGCAGTAAGTCACGTCCTGGAGGTGGAGGAGGAGGAAGTAGTGGGTCAGAAAAACCCAAGAGGCCCAGCTCCCTGCTGGCCAACAATAACGTCATGAAGCTGAAGCAGATCATCCCGCTGCAGAACAAGTTCTCCTCAGGTGGCGCTCGCTCCCCACAGTCGCCCACAGGCAGCGAACCAAAGCTCCCTGGGTTCCTGAGCTTCAAATTCCTCAAATCACCAGAGAGCAAGAGGGAAGGTGCTGCGGCTCCAGCGGCTGCTTCCACGGCCGCCAGTTCTACCGCAACATCATCTTCATCAACTTCATCATCAGGTAGCAGCTCTCAGGAGCGTTCTCAGTCACCCAGCAAGGCCTTCAACCCTGGAAAACTCTTTAACTTTGGGAAATCTGAGGGGGGGACCTGCGTGAACGGAGCGCCACCGCCCAGGTCAGGAGAAGGGTTCTTGTCGCAGACTTCAGAAAGACACACCTCCAGGTCAGACCTGAACAGCGCACCTGAGGAGATGCCCTCCTCCGGGGGGGAAGAATCTGAGAATGGACATTCAACAGATTTGGACACGACTGGCTCTAAGGTTTAGCAGTTTCACCTCAACTGAATCAATGTGCTTACTGTGAGGAGGAGCCTGACCTACACCTGGTACTGTACACCTGGTACGGTACATCCTGTACTGCAGTAGGCCATGTGTAGAAGATTCTGGATCAGAGGGAGGAAGTGATGATAATGATGAGAAGTGAATGTTGTCTGGCTGAAGAGTTAGAAGAAGGATGATAGGGTTAGTCTTGTTGTTATGACCCATTAAAACACACACACACACAGAAACACAACCTTTTCTTGTCTGCAATACATGAAGAAATGCATGAGCTGCGTTTCTCATACGTTCAAGCGTTTTAAGCAAAGAAACTTTTTGTTTCCTTTCATCCAGTCGTCCTAGTGGCCAGCTGAAACATATCAACCTGCTGGGGAGGGGAAAAAAAACAATTGATTTTAAATGAATATGCTGGTTTGATACAAAAGATAAGATTTAATATGTTTCATTTTTGACCTAGGCATCTCAGCTGTGTTCGTGAAGTGGAAACAAATGTACAAAAGCAATATTAGTCAGAGATCTAACTGTCTAACTTTGAAAAGTACTAATCCCCCCCCCCCGTCCCCCCCTCCTTAATGAAAGTCCCATAACATTCTGTCACCAGCTTTATTTTCAAAGCTCTGGTGATTTCTGAGCTTTTCCAAAAACATTTGGTAACAACAAGTGACATTAAAATAAAAAAGAAGAAAAAAAGAGCCGTTACCTATTAAGGTTTTTCTGAGCGATCACATGGGAGCGAGATATAAATAGGAAATACATTTTGTGGAAAAATGGAGCACACAGGCTCAGAGAGAACCGTTTTTTTTTTTTCCCTTCCTCCATTCAACCTTCTATCCAGAGATGGTTATCAGTGTTTTAGGTAACAGTTGCAGCGAACCGTGGCACCCTGCTTAGAAACAGCTCTCTCTACTGGAGATGGAGCCGATACCAGCCTGCTTCCTCAACATTATGCAAAAAGCTGGACATGTTTTTGTTTCAAACACACACACCCGCTGCCCTCTCATCTCAGTATTCAGATGAGGCTTTTTTTTTTCTAACAATAGCCGCTCCTATTTTATGTTGAGCTTTATCTTTTTATATACATCATTTACAGATGGTTTTAATTTCCTTTTTTAATCAAAGTCTTATTTTTACGATGACACTGCTTTTGTCAGGGTGTACAGTATGTTGTGAATAATCTTTCGATCATGTACTGAAACACTGTAACTAAAAGACATGTTTCTGAAAACAGAAAAGCACGGGAGCCCTAAACTGGTATTCATTTCTGCAGAGCGTCCAGAAGATGGCGCCATTTGATCTGCATGATGATTTTTTAATTTTTTTTTAAATTGATTTGTCAGTGGGGAGTCTGTGGTGCAGTAACAGTGAACTGTACGGAGGAGTTAAAGGTACAGAGAGAAACATTAACTATGCATTTTACACCATCGCTACAGGCAAGGGCTTCGGCAATAAGGTCCATGTGGGTGACTCCTACAGGATGTCACGGCTAAAAATGTCCCAACCTGCAGCAGCACTAAGTCCCACTGCATTACACCTGCAGCGACTTTAGTCATCCTTTGTGTTCTTGAACAATAACATCTCGTACGTTGGTTTGCTACCTTCAGGAGCCACCACAGTGGATCACCTGCCCTCAGATCACTCTCACTCTGGACACCAACCAGCTTCATTTCCTCCTCTACCATGTTGTTGTTGTTGTTGTTTTTTCCGGACCATACGTTCACCATCTTTTTCCTTACTTTATCTTTAAATTGCTCATCATTTGTTTGCTGAGCTGCTCATTTCTGATCTTCATCATTCTAACTTATGCCTCCTCCAGCTGCACCAATATTCCATAATCCTCTCATGGATTCTTCACTTCTCCACCTCTCTGTTTACATCAGATATAGTCTTCTAATCAGTGTGGACCTCCACTGCTCTTCCAGCCGCTTCTTACTCTGAACCCATCAGTCACTCTGCCAGCACACCTCACAACTGCCTTGCTCTTCTCATACTCTCGTATTTTACTGAGTGAAATCACTGTAAAAACCCTGTCACCATTACGTTGAAAAACTAATTTATTTGCAGCTTATTTTGTTTACAGAACTTCTATATCTAATTCTCTTTAGTTTAGTCACATGTCTACAGGAAATAAACAAACGCACTTCCACAGAAAGACAAAAACTCTTACTGACAGTAAATGCAATACAGGATAAAAATGTATTTGTGTTAAAGGTAAATGACAGTGTGTTGATTTTTTTATCTGGAAAGTATTGATGTCTTGTTTTTGAATTAGAAGAGTGGGTGTTACAGAAATGACGTGTCTTTTGACATTGTTCACACCACTTATTGTTAATGGAGGGATTTTAACACAGAACTACAGCACAGCTGAGCAAAAGGTGGTTTCCCCCCAAAATATTTAGTCTTACAGCAGTAACAACGAATCGCAACGAAAGGAACCAGGTGTTAGTGTTAAGACGGATCAGTGACAAAGCGTAGGTAGTGTGAATAGATGAGGGCTTTTGTTGACATGTCGCACTGATGTTCAGTTGATGGGTCAGGGGTTTTTTAGTTGTTCCTTTTTATTCAGGGAAAATGTCAAACTTCATGAAAAAGACATGGATGTCATTCTTAAAATCTTGGCAACGGCAAAACATTTTGCATTTTGTAAAAAACAAGCTCTACAAAAAAAAAGCACTGACTGCTGTGAAGAAACAGACGAACAGACGTTGGGTTTCACTGTAGTCATTAACCCCTGCCTTTTCTGTGGGATAAGCACAGGCTTTTCTCCTGCATCAGCGCTCAACACTAGGACTCATCTGTCATTTTCACTGTTAATTCACTATCAAAGCAACAACAGCTCCTGAAGGAGTTCAGACACGCTGTGTCCTCAAGTCTGTCACTGGCATCAGTGGGAAAAAGGACTAAGTGTTCCGTCTATTGGCTGTTGAGCGGAGGTGAGCTGGTGAAACTCTCACCGCAGCTCCATTAAAAACCAGACTGTAAAAACCTCAGCATTAAAGACGAGTCATCCTCACTCACTCACTCTACACCATGCGCTCTTCCAATGTACCACTGTATAAACGTTTTAAAGGAAAAATCCAGGGAAAAGGGACATTTTATTTCTTTGAATTAATTTTGTCATATTTTTGTAAGACCTGAAGAAATAGTTAATAAAACAATTTAAAAATGTACTCCGTGTGTTGTGGTGTGTATGTATAATATAAGAGCCAGGCCTGTTGTAATTGGCTCTCCACTAAAGTACAAAGCAGCATCACACACTCACCGAGGTAGATGTTTGACCCTGGAGGTCCGACGGACACGGTGACCTTCTGAGATTCTGCAGGAACAGGGAGACTCCATTACGACGTGTGCATCGTGTGATGGGTTCTTAAAATGTCTTCCTTCAGCTGCAGGAAACTGTAAGACAAATAAAACCACACCTGAAACACAGAGAAATGATTAGTGCAGAAATTTCAGTGATAAAACTTGACTTTGAAAAACCCTAGCATAGATGAGAGCCAACTGTTGTACGTTGGATAATCTTTGGCGCCCCCAAGAGGTGGTCCAGGGTGGACACGGCCAACGTTGGACCGTGGACATGCTGTGTACATATGGACAAATCATGGGTCACAAGAGGCTGTTTTATACACAATATTTTGTAATTATGACTTTAAAGAACCACATGACTTTAATCCAGTTTGAATCCAGTTTTATTCCAGCAAAGCTTGAAAAGAACATTTCTTATCCAGACGTGAGACGCAACGAGGAAGAGGTGGAGTGGAAGTCTAAAAGGCAATTGCATTACATGGTCTGAGCACAGAAAATGGAAGCGAGAGTTTTCTTTATCACACTCTCAGCTTTACCTGGGAACTACAAGAGGCTTTTGAGTCTATTGGAAAACATTAAAAAAAAGAGAAGATTTTATTTAGTTCTGTAAAGGACGCAAACGAGGCAGGACAGCAGCTGCATTTGCATGCTTATCATGCATTCCATAGCTGCAAAAATAAAGCATCCTTTTTTAACACCCCAATTTATCCAAAATGTATCTCTGAAAAATAACAAAGCCATGGTGTCACAAAGGCAGGGCACACGCCAGATATCCAGCAGCCCTGAGACAGTGGAGCCAAAGAGTCTAATTTATGGTGACAGGTCGTAAGGCCTCCAGCTAATATTTCCCACAGTCGCAAACTCAACAACCTGGAAGTTTGTATTCCTGTTCCAGGCATTTAAGACCCACACATGAAACATTTACATGCAAAACAACATTCAGTAGACACTGGAGTTCCTCTCTTATACACAAGTTGTCAGATTTCAATTATATTTTATAAAGGTCAGACACAAACATGGCCATTTGTTATTATTTTAACACAGACACACAAACAAAAAAAGACATTTCTCATCTCTTTTTTGTGCTGGAACCAGGAGGCACAACATAAAACCCAAAAAATGTCATATTCTGGTGCAGCAATTCTAATGGATTATTCTACATACCCTGATGATTTAAAAAAAAAAAATCAGGGTGGACCAGTAGGTGGCGCTTAATGATAAAATACCCCTCAGTCAACCTTGCACAATAGGAAGATATGAATATTTACCATAAACACACACACCCAATGGGTTGTGTTCTACTTTGTGCTGTTCTTCACAGTGCATCCTTAATTCTGTTGAAATGCTGCAGTGCCCCCTTGTGGTCGCACAATAGGGCAGTGAAACTGAGAAGGGCGGGCACGGTGGCTGGCAGGAAGCTCAGAGCCATACTGTACATAAAAATTAAAAAATATAATAAAATTAAACATTTACAAAAATGTTACCTTTTTACCTTGCACAAATCAGACCAGACTCATCAGGAGACAGGAGGCTACACCGTCGCTGATCAGATGCCGGACTGCTTTGACGAGTAGTGTCCAACGTCACCTGTCAACCTCAGATTTTAGATCCAAGTATTTTTGACACATTTACCCAAATATTAAACCCAACTCACACACAGTGTACAACAGACACACTCACACAGCTCTGCATGCATACACACATATACATGTATGGTATTTCACACAGGGCACAGCCATGAACACGAGTTAACCAGATGTATCAGGGGGCTTTGTTTTCTGAGACATCATGACTGACATCTTTTCATTTTCTCAGTTATTACTTTCGTAAAAGTGCATCGTGCATGAAATGCATTCATACAGTCATAACATGACCTTCACGTTAAGAGGCTCGGTGAATGTGCCAAATTGTATGATACAGGTTTCTCTAAGAGCATCTTTTGACTCTCCAATAATGTGCAGACCACTTGTTATCCAGAGGAAACTCAAACAGACGTCTGCATTAAAGATGAAACGTTTTTTATTGTTTTTTTTTTACTTGACAGCTCAAATCAACCTTAGCTCACTTAGTCCGTCCCTCTCTCTTTCTTTGTTGTACATGAGGACAGCTGTTTAATTTTTTTAATTATATTACTGTTACCTCATGCAGTGATGGGTTTGATCAGGAGAATGAATGGTTACAATACTCAAACAGTTAAAGATTAAATTAATGGTTCTCTGTATTACAACACTGTTCTATGGTTAAAAAGAAAATCACCTCAAGCCTTTGATTTGAGTAGAGTGTTGAGTTCTTTTACCTCTACTTCAAAGTTCAGTATTTGTTTCTCACCACAGTTATTTTTCATAATTCATATTGGCTCCTCCCTGTGTAAACATACAAACACACACGCGCACACACACACATTCATACACAATTAGGCACATATACAATTATGAGTCCTCATTCATCTCTTGGCTATCTGTTCTTGCGATCTTCCGTGGAGGGGCAGGGCTATCGCCCTCACCTTGTTCCTGTTCCCTTTTTTTTGCTGCATTCTGTTGGGATACAAACAAGGACAACATCACTCGCAATTCATATATTTTTGATCGTTACTGAGGCAAAAGGTTGAACATTGTTCTATGAAACAGGAATTCAATAATTAATGCCACAAAATGCTTCACCTTTTTGTCCCACTGCTGATGGAGGTAACGCAGTAGGATGTTTGTTTTCTCTGTTACAATTACTGTGGAGCACATCAAACAGGTGCATTAAAAACAACCGTCAATGCAATAGACTGAAAACACACGAGAGAACACACACACTGAAACACACAAGAAATATACCATTAACACACACCTGTTCAAGGCTCGATCAGTTCTACTCACATCTACGCGTGTATAAATGACTGCAGTCAACTAGAGTGACTTACTCTGTTCCGAGGGATACTCGCGGGTTGGTAGATACACAGAGGGCCTCCGATTCTGTCACAAGGGACAGGGAAATGATATTAACAGTTGTGGATTCTTCTAACGTACAGGACTTTCTACAATGGGAATTATCCCAGTGTGTTTTTAAACTATTTTTTCTAATTTCAGACAAATAGCTTTTTTCCACAGCAAATGTCCCACAGCATCACTGACTTTAGCGGACAAGAGAAGAAGGTACTTACAGATGCTTTACAAACACTGTCTGCATGAAATCTGCTGAAGTTGCTCTTATTGTAGACTGGAAGTCCTTTTAAGAAATCCGCCTGGAGAAAAAGGAATCCCAGATCACTTTTCAACCATGTTTCATTGTACCACCACAAGTCTCTAAACATGAACATATTGCCTTTTTTTTTATTGGCAAAGACTTTTGACTGCGTTCGTGTATTTACATGAAGCACTTAACTCGTAAGACAAGGTTTTCAAATGTATTTCCAGCAAAGCCTGGAGGTAAAACCACTCTCTGTTTTCAAGAAGAGTTTGAAGAAAAACATCAGGTATTTAGCCTAGCTGTGCCTCATTTAATGCTACTGTTTTAATCCATAAACACGACTCGAAGAGAGTGATTGTGACTGAACATACCACCTAAATAAACGTGTGCCCTACAGGTTACGTTGCATGATAACAGTGTGGGACTCAAAGGCTGGGCGGTTCCCCAGCTCCTGCTCCTCTCCCTGCCTCAACATCCCCACCATCCTCCATTAACGGAGGTGATAATATCAGACACGCTGTACAACCAACGGTTTCAAATGTGCAGGTCAGAGAGTTTAGAGGCAGGCGGTGCCGGTTTACCCCGAGTATACGGATGTCAACAGAGGTAGCATGTGTAGCTAATAGCTAACAGTAACTATTATAAGCCTATTCGCCACTTTATCCTTTTAAAGAGCACAGGAGTGGGGTATAAATGTGGCGGTCTGAACACCAAACACGTACCTTCTCCATTTTCGTTGCAGAACCGTCAAACCGCTGACCTGTGTTCCCGGTGTGGTGTGTTGGTCGTATTGGTAGGTAGTGAGTATGCGGTTAGCCGCGTTAGCTCCCTACGGCTACTTCAACAACCAACTCTCCTCTCGAGTCTTCTTTGAAAATTAATAAATATCTTCACGCTTAATGATATGTTTTCATTGTCATTAAGTGTATAAAACAAAAGAATAATGCGATAATAAGTAATATCTGTGAATTCGCGAGTAAGCAAAACTAATGAGACATGACTCCTTTCACTAGCATGATCGCTGCGATGCTACAAATCCCGCCTCTAAAAAGCTCATTGGCTTAAGAAGTCAACCACGTGATGGCGGTACCAAACAGCGAATCACTGAGCAGCATCTGCACATACAGCATAGAGGACGATATAGTCTAAACATTTAGAAGCACATTGAACTTTAAACTTTGAAGTCTGGGTTTACTTTTTTGATTAACATGTTGATCTTGATTTAAATATAACATATTAGACTGAGGTTTATTTTAAAGGTACAGTATGCACTGTAATGTACCTTATGTCCACTGGCCTTCAACAATGAATCAATCATTTTAAAACATAGACCCCAACAGTTGAAAACTTTTCACTTCTCTCAATTTTTGCCCCAATTAAAAAAATACCTCCAGACTTCCAGAAGTAGTCACCTAGCAACTACCACCATAGCAACAGCCACAGCATCACCTGTTCAAGGTGCTGGAGAGTGGAATGCTAATATGCTTGATATGGATAGATGGAAGGCATTAAGCTGATGCTGTAAGTGAAAAAAAAAAACAATGTTCAATCATTGTAAATAAAACACTTCTTTTAGAAAATTTACAAAAGGGAATGAACACCATTCTATAAAATCTCAGAGGAGGAGACACCTGCTCCCATTTTCAGTCACATCAACAAATGACGACGTTTCTTCTTTCCTTCTTTCCTTCTAAGAAGTACTGCCTCCTCTCAGACACACACACAAACACACACACTTCCTCTGTTCTCTGATTACTGAACTGAAGCCATACCTGCACCTATAATAATTAACCATGTAGAGAAGATATTTTCACTCAGGAGGCTGACAGTGTTCACTACGTGTAGTCAACATACAGGACAAGAGAATCCAGATAAATGAAGTAATTGGATTTACAGCCACAGATTAAAGCTCTTCGCCTTCTTCTGTGCCGCACAACAAAAGCACATCTATCACTATCACTGCACAGTGTTTTCAGGATCACAAAGGTAGGAAACCTTTTCTTTTTGCTGAAACAGACATTGTATAGATGTTTAATTAAGAACCTTTTCTTTTTGCTGAACTCTTTCTTTTGTAAACAGACATTGTATAGATGTTTAATTAAAACAATAAAACAAACTACTCCAGTATAGCTTTAGCAAAGAAGGGGAAACTGCAAAGCTAAAGAGAATTCAATTAAAGAGACTAAATTAAATTGTTATCCCATTTCTCCTGGAGCCTCGTGACAAACCTGTAGGTTTCTGTGGATAAGTAGCTGAAAGGAAATCTAATGGGCCAAGCATAATGTTAACTGTGAGGTACAACATGCAACCACTAGACTCTGGACTGTGTTCTGCCTTGTTTATCGCTCGTTTGCATTTGGTTGACTGGTGAATAAGTCCACATTTGCCAGTAAACCATTATTTAACATAAGCTGTTTGCCAGTCCTGGGCTGCCAAGATTCTGTGACAGGATGAAGACATCTTGTAATGAACAGTCAGTCAGGGAGCCAACCAGACTTCCTGCAAAGTATCTGACGAAAAAAAAATTGTTTTGGTCCCAATACCATAACTATTTATGAGAAAATTTAGTTTGCTGTGTTCTATGAGTCATTTAATTTTGTTTTAGGCCAGTGGTCCCCGAACCTTTTTACGACCCATCGTTTTTAAGCATGCTTTTTCGCCGACTAGCGGCAGTAGTGTGTAATTAAAGAGAGGTCACGCCCATAACACGTTAGCGCAATAAAGAACGATGATTTAATTATTACATACATCATTAATTGTAATTGTTGTTTTATTTTATACACTTCATTTTTTATTATTATAACGTTATCGATAGTCGTGAACGTTTTTCAAAATAAAATACCATGCAGACTGACGCCCGCCCTCTTTTTTTTTTTTTTAAAGAAGAGTTATTTGTTTGTTTGTTTTTAAATAATTTCACTCATTTCAGTAATTTACTGCTTAAGTTGGTCTGAGTTCTTACCGGCGCATGAAAAAAAAACCGGCTACTGAGTCAAGTGCTGAATAGCGGAGCAAACGAGGAAAGAAGCGGCGGAAGTTCTTGATTTTTCAAAATAAAATACCATGCTAACGTACGTTTTGAAAAATTAAAATTTTAAATTGTTATATTCTTTCTCTGTCTCCCCATACTAAATAATCAATGGTCTAGCAGTGGTTGAGGGCCCCTTTTAAGATTTTAAAATGGAAAAAAATCGTTTTAATAGATTGTTTCCTTTGTAAACTATTAAAAAATAGTAGCTGTTTAGCTTCAAGTACAAACAAAGATGTGCATCAGACCATACAAACACTAAAGTTAACTAAGGTCAAACTTCAGTCCATGTTCCACTGAGCAATTGACAGATTGTGTTGTGTAGTCAGAGAATAATCCTCTCAAGCACACAGGGAGCGATGGGGAGGCAGGATAATACCACCAGCACAGAGACTTGCAGACCCTGTTTGGCCTCAGTGCTGTTGCCATGGCAGTTAATCAACTGTCATCCCGGAGATTGGCTGCTGTGTGACAAAACATCTTACACTTTGACTCATCCATTCACTGGATTAAGTTAGAGAATTCATAAACTAGCTCTCCCTGCTTTCATCTGAACAGTACCACACATTAGTCGTGGCAGCTCTGTCTCTTTGACTAACTACACGTCGGTGAGAGCAGCAGCAGAGGGATCACGTAGCCAGCAGCTTTATCTCACAGAGTTATTACCGTCCCTGTCTATTAATACACCCAAAGGCTGCACTAATGGTCGATGCTGCTCAGTAGTTTCTCACAGAATGTTGTCAGGATTTAAAATGCTTTCCCGCACCAGATTCCACATAAGCATGATACAAAAATTCTGTTAGTTCCACATGTGAGTCGGCCTACATTGAAAATATACTTGGGACGGTTGTTATGTTTTGAAAAGGTGTCAGATTTTAACAACTTAAACATTTGTTACGATATAAAAATTTGATTGATGATTGGAACTTTGCAATTGGTTTTGATCAAGCTTCATCTTGTTTTTTTTTCTTTTTTCCAAACTGAAGGAACATTAGAACATTAGGATAAAGTGTTAAGACTCAAAAGAATGTGTAGAGAAAAAAAATCTGTAATTTTAAGAACAAATATCTTAATTTTGGGTTTGAACTTTTTGACTATCTAGAATCTATCCATCATCCACCCATCCATCTTCTGTTCTACATATAAGCTCTTAAATACTCCTTCTTAATACGTCTTTACATGTGTATCTCCACCAGACTGGCAGCCATGCTGACCAGATTCATGGACGGCTTCATGTGCTGCCTGACCTCAAAGTCTGCCAACGTTGTTTGTCCTGTAGAAACATCTGAACTTGTTGATGGCTATGAGTTTGTTGAGGTGAAACCAGGCCGTGTCCTGAGGGTTCGACATGTCATCCCCGACCGGCCCGTGTTGGAGGAACCCAATGCACAGGGGGGAAATGTCAGCTGTAAAAGAAAGATCACAGTGTATCGCAACGGACAGATGTACATTGAGAACCTGAGCGGTCAAGAGGGCACAGAGCTGAAGAACTGTGCCAAAGCAAAGAAAGACTCCAACAGCACAGTGGAGGTTGAACTTACAGACGGCACAAACTCCTCACCATCTGTCAACCTCTCCAAGACCCGGTCTGACTCCAACACAGCTGGGAACAATGGGGCAGCTGAAGCAGGGGCAGGAGGTGGAGGGGGAGCTGCGCCACCTGCTGCTGGACAGACTGACCAGAACCAGCAGCTGAGGAGGCGTAGACGGAAGCCCAAGAGGATTGTAGTGATTGACTGTGAGAGGAAGATATCGGCCTGTAAGGGGACACATGCAGATGTGGCTCTGTTTTTCATCCACGGAGTCGGAGGCTCACTGGACATCTGGGGCAGCCAGTTGGACTTCTTTTCTCAGCTGGGCTACGAGGTGATCGCCCCAGACCTGGCAGGTCACGGAGGCAGCTCAGCACCAAAGATAGCTGCAGCGTACACTTTCTATGCACTGGCTGAGGATATACGGCTGATCTTTAAGAGATATGCACGCAAGAGGAATATCCTCATCGGTCACTCTTACGGGTAAATGTGAAGAGTTTCTTACTCTACGTAGCTGGAGGTTGTCAAACAGTTTCTAACCAGTGTTGTGTTCTGTTCCACTTCACAGCGTGTCCTTCTGTACGTTCCTGGCTCATGAGTATCCAGACCAGATTCATAAAATGGTGATGATCAACGGAGGCGGTCCCACAGCTCTGGAGCCCAGCCTCTGCTCCATCTTCAACCTGCCCACCTCTGTCCTTCACTGTCTTTCTCCGCTGCTAGCCTGGAGCTTTCTCAAGTAATGCCCTGGAACATGTATGGGAGTGTATGGTTTAATACCACCACCAGAGACTGTTATGGTCTGATGGAGTTCAGTGGATAGTTAGTTAGTCTTTCACCCACATGGTCTATCCAAGAGGTGGGCAAATCCTTTGGCTCACGGGCCAAAAAAAAAAACAGTCAAGATTTAACTGGTGGGACGGTTCAGTACTGGGTTGGTTGGATGCTGGGCAAAATAATTCGTATTCCTCCCGTACTGTACTTAACCTTGACCTAACTGTACATGTTAAATTACAGTATTAGTCAGTACGGCATCAGTATCCTTCTGTCCACATGTGTTACTCCACTCTCTCTCCCACAGGGCTGGCTTTGCTCGACAGGGTGCCAAAGAGAAGCGGCTGCTCAGGGAGAACAATGCCTTCAACGTGTCATCCTTCGTGCTGCGTGCCATGATGAGCGGACAGTACTGGCCTGAGGGGGACGAGGTCTACCACGCTGAGCTCACCGTGCCCATTCTGCTGGTTCACGGAATTCATGACAAGTTTGTGCCTGTGGAGGAAGATCAGCGTATGGCAGAGGTGACCAGACAGCGTTGACACCAACGCTAACAAACTTCAAGATTAACATTTGGATACTGACCTGCTGAAGACACATTAAATGGGACAAATTATTATCGACACCAACCAAAAATAAAATTGTGGCAATATCTTGCCACAATTTCCCAATAAATATTCTTATCAAGGTTGTGAGTTCAGTGTGAAAAATATATATTTTGCCTTATGTTATAAATGTAATATAATTAATATGAACCCAACTAAATAAATCAGTAGCCTTCATTTTCCTTGAGCTAAAAAGGAGCTACAAAAGCTAAAGCTAAAAGCTAACAAAAGATAAAATGTGAAATCCCAGTGTGTTGTTTGGGCCCAGCAGGAGGAGTAGGTCTGTTTGGAAAAAACAAACCAAACCAGACATACATTGATGCTTATCTTATTTCACTCATGACTTCACTGACTGGATCGTTTCCTTGTTTCTGTGAATTGTTCCTCAGATACTTCCTCTGGGCTTCCTGAAGTTGCTGCAGGACGGCAGTCACATGGTGATGATGGAGTGTCCTGAGGCTGTGAACACACTTCTGCATGAGTTCTTACTCTGGGAGCCTGCCACCACGTCCCTGGCGACAGAGTCTAAAAAGCGTCCAGAGACTGCCAAAGCTCAGTGTGACAACGCCAAGGCATTGTCTGAGTTGGTCCGGGCCAGACCTGCAACTGCCAGACAGAGTCCAAACAACGCAGAGAAGACGCCAGACGGCAAGGCCAGAAAATGAGTGAAGATCAAAGCTGACTCTGATCAAACCTGAAACATCCAGTCATTGTTATTCTGCTGTTAACCATTCACTCTGCGAGTTCCAGTAAATGTCTATGTAGGTCCTCAGTCTTCCAGGTCGTTTCATCAGAGTTCCAGGAAAATAAGATGTTTCAACTTTTAAAACTGGTGATGAGCCCAAACAGTAAACTAACCCAAAAAAACGGTCAAGCCTACGTCCTGCAGTTTGACGGAGACTGCTGAAGGTCACGTGTCCCTGCTCACACCTCCCTGTCTTACATACAGTAGCTGATATGGTTGTGCCTTAACCACAAACGTAGTGATTGTCTCTGGAGAAACAGTCACAAACGTCAACATGTCAGCTGGAGTAAACAGGGCGACATGTACTGCAGAGACAACAACTATTCACACTCACATTAACACCTGAGGTCATTGTAGAGTGAACTATTAACCCCATCTGTACGGTTCTGGGCTGTTGAAGAGAACCCGAGAACCCAGAGAAACCCACAGACACACAGGGATAACATGCAAACTCCAAACAAGGAGAGTGGGGATTGAACCAGCAAACCGGTGATCTTCCTGTAAGGCAAGAGCAATTATCGCTTTGGCCACTATGTGGCCCCTAAATGAAATGAATTTCAAACAATACAGGAATGTGGAGCTGAAGACATGTGCTCTGCCTCAGACTGCCTTGCTCAACTGCCATGTCATCAGGTACTGTAGATGCAATAAGACATCATCAACCCTGTTAGGACATTAAAATGAGATTTATTACACGGCTCTGAGTTCTGAACATTTTTATATGAATAATATGGGGGAAAAAAACAACAGAAAAGAGAAACCAAGAAAATAAACAGAGAACAGTGATGTTGAAAGAGTACTGTGACTAAAAAGGACAAAAACAACTCGTCCAACAGAGAACTGTCTTCCTGCTGCATCTCTAAAATACTGCACAGAATGACTCCACAGTATCTGACATATAGTATTTGTGAATACTTCTTCATTCTACTTCCTGGCCTGTCACATAGACATATTTAAAAGTTTTAATCCTTTTTTGTCAGTTTTTTATGCATAACATACTTTTTTATATATGCTGTCTGTGAATATTGTGTTGAATATGTAGAGTTTCTGTGTTCAGACCAAACTGTAATTTATTTCTTAATTTTATATCTGTATTTTTTTTACTGTTTCTCTTTATTTAAATAAAATAAAAATCTAAGTCTAAAAAAATCTATTTTATCTTTTCCAGTTTTGTAGTAATATAATTTAAAAAAAAGATTTGACATGTTTAAGCCTCTATGATATAATAATAATAATAATAGTTTTTTCTTAACATTCTGTACAGTGACATAAACTGTAAGGAGTGAGTCAAAATGATCTAACACAGATGTCATAACTGTGTAAATGTTTCGACTTTTTTCAGACTAGTTTCTCCTCAGGCTGTGTTGCACTTCTTTAATCAGGTTTTTCACCTATCAAAAATGAAACATAATAAATTTAAATTACTGAAACTTTACAACAAATATTCATCTGTGGCCATTGATTTATTTATATTTAACCGAAAGAACATCTAAGAAGAAAACTTGTTTCTTTTTTAGATGAGGTAAAGAAGCAGGATGCAGCTCGGATTCTTTCATGAATAACAACTTGTATGTTTGAAGACATCAACATATTTTAAAGCTACTACGGTATATTCAGGCTTTACAATTGTGTCCTCACCTGTTTAAAGTGATGCTTCACCTCTACACTTCATACCTGAAAAAATGTATATAGCAAGAAATCATTACTTACAACCTCTATGCATTTATAGTTAGGAACTAAAATAATTTCATATACTGTATTCTCTATTTTTAAAGTTTGACAAAGCAGTTCTAGAAATCCTTACATATACTTTTACATAATCTTAACTCAGAACTTCATAACTTCTTAACTTAAATCCCTTCTGTGTGACATAAAAACCTTGACCAAAACTCTTGCATCACAGTGTGTAGAAAGCTTTACAACATTTCTACATTCAAGACAGATATAAAAAAAAAAAGGAAGCGTAGAAAAGAAGCACAGTTAAAGGCAAACTGGTGTCTGCACCGACCCTCACACCTCCAGGATCACAGCGGGACCATTACAGCTGTCCTCCACGTCTGACGTCTCTGTGGGACCACTGGACTCTCTCTTGGCCTCTGGTGCTGCCTCCTGCTGACTGACGGTGGTGGTGCTGGCCCCTTTGGTTTCATTCATCATCTGGATGGAGTCAGCCGCTGAAACCGGGGTTGCTTTCACGTCCCCATTCTGGACAGGGAAGGTGCTCTGCACAGCGTCATACAAGAACTGGTACTGTTCCTGTTAGACACACACACACAGGTACAAAATGGAACCATTATCCACACATTCTATTTTTTTTACAACACTCTTTGTTTTGAGTTAAAAAATAGTTAAAATCAGTGCAGTCTTTAAAACAGGTTGTCAAACCTCGGGCCTACAAACATCCTGATTTGGCCGGTGACTGTTTGTCAATAAAACACAACGGAACACGGGGGAAACAGCACCTTCATGTGCTTCTAAGGTGTACTGAAGTATACTCCCTGTCCATTCAGTGGGTAGAACTTTATTTCCTTCTGATCTACGACACATTAAACCACTAAACTATGAAACCTCGTGTAGTTCCAGCAGACAGAGTTCTCCTTCCTCACCAGTTTGAAGATCATGTTCTGTCTCTCCTTGCGTAAAGTTTTGACCACCTGGAAAACATCCACCAGCTTCTCAGTGTTAGCGCTGTCCAGGAGGTTCCACAGGGCACAGAAGACCCCCGTACGAGAAGAGCCGTCACTGTAAGATGAGACGTAAAATAGTTTTTGTCAGTATTTTTGGCAGACTTTACACTTTTATACAGTCAAAAACTAAGCAGAAAATAGCCCTCCTTTTTATTTTTAATGTTTCATTGTGTTTCTGTACACCAGTGGTTTCCATGGTGGGGGTGCGGACCCCTCCAGGGGTCGTGGGGCTATTGGTTAATTTGTACCACAATGGAAAAATTGCACTGATTTGTGATGGTTTTTCCTTTATTCTCTTAAAGTTGGGGGGATGGGGCTGGAGGGGGGGTCAACAATAGTCCTATAGACTGCAGCTGCAGACGTGCGTGTCTTACTTGCAGTGAACCACAATATTCTGTGGTTTGCTTCTGTCACCACTCTTCTTGATTTCCTTGATCATGTCGATGAGCTCCTGAGGACGTTCTGGCAGATCCTTGTTACCAAACTGCAGGAACTGGAGATGTCTGACCGACCGACTGTCTAACCTCTGTCAACACACAGATGTGGCGTGGATTTCAAACAGTTGTCAATTTATTTTTCTTTTTTTTAACACTGGCTGATGTTAATTGCCTCCTGTCTCTGTGCGTTACCTTGGTGTGGCGCAGCAGCATGTTACGGCTGATTACGGCTGCGGTGGTTTCTTTGTTGGTGACCTCCACCTCTATGTCCTCACATTTCTTCTCCCAGTAAACTGAGCCCTGTGGAAACAAGGAAAGTGTTTTTTGCCCAGCGCTCTTTACACATAGAGAGTGTTTGGCATTTCATGTTTTTAAAGGTGCCAATACGTTAGCATTAACCTAATTATTCTACAGACTTACTTTTAACAGTCTTTTCACATAATCCTCATTAATCATATGTTTAAGTTATTTCGATGTTTGTTAAGAGTTTGTTGCTCACCTCATCCTTCTCACTAGAGTCGGACAGCATGACAATCGTCGACACTTTCTTCTGGTAAATCATGCTCCAGAAATCACCGATGGTGTTTGGAAGCGGAGTCTGTGCAGCAATGATGACTTGTTGTCCCCAGTAACCCTGTGTGAGGAGAAAACAGAATCTCTAACTGACTTGCACAAGAAAGTGTAGAATAGAACTGGTTCATAAATATAAAGATGAAACCCACAAACAGGAAATAATTCATCTTTTCTTCCTCTTGATGGTACATTTCAATAAGACTACCGTAATAGAGAGTAATGAAACCATACGCTGATGTAGGAGGCGTTAATGTATTTGCTGCATTCATCGTCATCTTCATCCGACGAGTCTTCGTCATCTTCGCAGTTGTGGACATTTTGGTCACTATCGTGACTGCAGCCTTCGTCCAGCTTCAGCAGCACGCCGTTGTAGTCGTCTGAGGGAGGACAAAGTGAGTATTCACAGCACAGATGGTCATTTACATCAACATGCACTGAACCATTGATAACATGAATCCATGTTAGTGCAGCTAACACTCACATGGAATGACTGTGAGGGAACGATTCTTCTCTTCATTTTCCTCCGAAATCCCAGTGTTGAATGTTCTCCATTTTTTAAAAGAAGGGAGTCTCTGCAGTCCAAGACATTTTTTGACATTTATGAACAAACAATAATATCCAACTTATTGGATTGTGGAAAATTGTCTGTTTTCACTTAATTGGATAGAAAACTATTATTTAGTTAGTGAAAAATAAATAATAGTTTTCTATCCAAGACACAGGCAGAATTAAATTCTCTTCCACCAGGTGGCATTCAGAGACACACTGTCCAATCTTACATCCTCATGTGTGTCTTTCTTCAATGCCTGTGAATATATTAGTGTTGCGTTCAACTAAACAGGCCCAGGTTTCACACTGAGTAACAGAGTGAGTAAATAATGTGAAGACATTAAAAGTAGAATATCATTATATTTCATTACATATATTTTTTGGGAGATTTCTTTGAGTTGGTATGTCATAGGATTTTTCTAATAAATTACATAGGTAGCTGACAGACTAAAGACAAAAGTTTCCTGTACCTCGTACTCCTCCTCCATCAGGGTGAGTTCACTCTCAGAGTTTTTCTCTCTCAGTGTACTCAGTGTGCTGGGCAGCTCAGCCACAGGGATCTCCGTCTCTCCAAACTGGTTGTGCTCCAGCAGAGCCTGGTGAATCAGGATGTACTGGGCCTGTTTGAGGACAATATTCACAGAACGGGGTATTACAACTATAATACCAAAATACAAACAAAGCTGACATAAACAACAATGAAAGTAAAAAAAATGGACATATTCCACTAATGAAAATAATTACAGTATTATTGTAAAAACTAAAAAATCCTGACGTTTAATCTCATCAAAACTCGGAACAGCAGGAGTTTTTTCCTTTAAAACCAAATTACAAATAAAAATAAAAAATAAAAAAAATAACCTGCCTACCTTTGATGTAAAAATAAATAATATAAACTGCTTTAATATATACCAAAATCAAATAAATGAAAACTTTATAAACTTTACAAAAGTAACTCTTAAGGATTATCTTCCTTTACTAATATATATAATAAACTTGGACTTGAACTGAATTAACTTGATCATCCATTCTAACCTGAAAATGTATGAAAACAAATCTGCTAATCCAATGCAATTTCCTTGTATGCCACTAGGGAGCTGCATATCCCTGAGTGGTAAAAAATGTATTACCTCGACTTGGACCATGAGACACCGCTGTCTGCGTAGTTGGACAACATAACCATAGATGTCCACTCTCCCCTCTGCCTCCAGACACTCCATCATGGCATCAATGGCAGTGTAGGTTCCTGTTCTGCCCACCCCAGCGCTAGGAAAGGCACAGGGCAATTAAGACAGCAGTTCAATTTTTGCCCTGTGGGTGGATCATCTGTTCTACTGTGGTCTGGCTTCATTATATGACTGTACCAGGACTGTTGTAGCAAGCGTTAGCTCACGTGTCTGTGCTCAGAGCAACGTGTTTTGTATTGAGTAAATACTCTTTGCTGGAACTAATGTGGTAACGAAAACACTTTTTGTTGCACAATTTGCACACAACCTTGCTGTAAAAAAAAGAAACTTTCCGCTCAACAAACCAAACAAAGCAGTCTTGTCTTCTATCTCAGAACTCAGAACTTTCATGTGGAGTGAAATTCCTCAATATATCATTTGCATGTTCTTCACAAATGGCAAACAAACGTAAGACTGACTACTGCCACCTGCTGGGTTGGAGTGTTTTCATTAGTTTTACCAGACTATCAGAAATAAAAAAAAATCAAAAGAAGGTCGAAGTAAAGTATGTGTCGAAATACCAAATCTAAGTTATATAATTTTTTGTTAGAATCACACATGTTTAACATTAGTTTTGGAGCCCAAATATTAGATTTGACCAAATGTTAAATTACCAATTTTTTTCCCTAGTAGCTTTTACGACGTCCGTTTATATTGTACCTGCAATGAACAACGATGGGGCCACTGAATAAATTCTTGAAAGCGTTGACACGCCGTCTCAGTTTCAGGAGAAGCTGTGGCTCCTCTGGCACACCATGGTCTGGCCAACTCTTGAACTGGATGTGGGTCACTTCTCGTTCCGAGCTCTTCTCCTTCTTCTGCAGACCCACACAGTGAGACGACATGTAGAACCAAGGTGAAGAAACCACACACAGCCGCCTGCTACATATTAAGTTGTAATTTAACTTTAACTAACTGTAATTGAACAATCTGTGGACCGAGTTCTCCTATTGTAAATAATTCAACCAAATAGAAGGAAAGACAGTGGTGTTTTTATCATCCTACAAAAAAAAAATCACAGGTCCATCGGCCAATCTTTGATTAGAAATCTCAGTCTATTATGAGGTGAAGATGTAACTGTCACATTTTTTAGTTTTAGGAATCCCTCCTTTTTGGCTTCAAACAGAAATGGATTCAACCAAACACACAAGTAATAAAAGCAGTAGCGACATAGACTCACGTTTATTACACTCAGGCGGCGGATGATGTAATCTGGAAAGTGGTCCTCTGACTTCAAGTTCACCACAAACTCCTTAAAGATCTCTGTCTCTCTCTGTGGAGACGGCCAGTACTGGGCACACTTTATCTGTGACACAACATTATCATGTGTTAAATACAGTCTGGAATTCATGTTAAAATGTGGACACGTCTCGCTCTAAGACGAAGAAAAGAGCATTAGTTGATAGGTGAAAAAAAAAATTAAATTACTTCTATTATATTACCTTAAGTGTCTTGAAAGGTGCAAGTAAATAAAATGTCGCGTTTATAGTGTGGAAAGTGTGAATAAATCAACATTGTTTATTGAAATTTTTACCCTGTTTATCCATAATATGCTGAATTTTTACACATATCAAAGAGAAATATCACTATTGTTCTTTTACTTTTCTCTCTTTTTTTGTGGCCAGAGAAACAATCTGATCAACATCCTAAGATTTCACAACACTATTATTGTGAAAAGGTAAAACAGTTTGTCATTTTTAACTTAGTCAAATTTTATTTTTATTCTTACCCTGTTTCCTTCTTCACACTGTGTTACCATGACAATAATGGATGTCTGCTGTTCCCAGATCATCCTCCAGAAGTCACCAACGGTCTCATCCTTGGGCCCTTTATACAAAAAGGAAAGGTAGAAAGGAAAGTGAACTACTTGTCAATGTGACATTGTGACACACACCATTGCCCTTAAACACCGTCGCCATCAAAAGACCCATAAATACATATTTTACACATACATGCATTAGTGTTTCTAATTTCTACAGTGAGACACAATGCATGCATTATTTCACACACAAAGACATACATAGGGTGGATATAGACAGTGTATATATATATATATATATACTATCACAAATACACATTATGAAAATACTGTACAGTCATACAGCACATACTTTATTGAAACAAAAACCTAAACCACCATGAGACATTTTTACCTTGAGCTGCAATGTACTTCTTTGGCTCCTTGTAGCCCTGCAAAATATAAGAGAGTATAAGCAAATGTAACATTGTATCACTGATTTCACTCTTGTTAAATGTTCTCTGTCACAGGGAGCAGCAGTAAAACATTAAAAGTATTAACGTGTGATCAGATTGTGGTTCGTACATCGATGAAGCTGGCGTTGATGTAGTCACTTCCAGCCTCGCCACTTCCTGTTGTCAGCTGCACCCGGTTGTAATCATCTATTTCAAGATACAGAAATGAAAAAAAAATTAAACATGTGGAAATGCCCATGGTGGTAAGGTTATCAGAGGGGCTGTAAAAAAACACACAAAACTAACCAAATGACAGTGATATTTTTTTTTATTTGACTCACATGGCAAGATGTCGACGTAGCGGTTCTTGGGGCCATTGCAGGTCTTTTTGGCGTCTTTGACTGTGTGTCGTGAGAAAATTCTGGGGATGCTCTGCAAACACGTAGAAATAATGACTTTTGCAAGTGTGAAAACACCTGCACGGTGCAAAGGCAGGGTTAAAACAACACAGTCAATTTCCTTGCGTGCAACTATTTCTTTTTCCATTTTCCTCTGTTGAGTTCATGCACGCCTGCACGTACCTGTCAACGGAATTATCTCTAACAAATGCTCTATGGTAGTCTTTCCTTAAAAGAAGCACTTGTACTTTTACTGCATGTTCAATTCATCAATAAAGTTGTACATTAGACCCAAGCTAACACATATTTTTACACAATGCCCACTGCAACGTGAAGATGTGCAAAACTACAAATATGGCAACACAGTCCAACAGAAAGAATAAGAGAAATGTATCTGTGGTCATTAGAAAAAAAACTGAGAACATTTATGTCATCTCTGCAGAACAACTTTACATTTCATTTTTTAGGGTCAAAACTGAGCAGCAGCAGCACAAATAAAAACACATCCTTTTTTCCCCGTGATGAAACACAGTCACACACAACTGGTAGTAACTAATGAGAATGACTCCACTAATGCAAGAAAACTGAATATGAATTTTCAGCAACTGAAGACAGAAAATTCGTTCAGAAGTGGACCATGGACAGAGGAAACCGGTGCCTGCTCAGCATGTTTTAGTCGGGCTGAGGCTGGATCTAAACCTGTGACCTCTGATAACAATCGATCACATCTACTACTAGGCCACAACAGTTTTTTATTTTTGTTCCCTGATTCGAGGCTCATAGCATTAGACTGTGTTTGAGTTCACGGTTTAATGACTGCGAAGAAGAACAGCGGGCATCACCAGTGACATATCCAGAACAAACACTGCTGACCACTACACTACCATGTGGCCTTCATATTAAAGCCAAATGTTCAAAGTACCTGAAACTCCTCCAGGAAAAGTCGTCCTTCATCAGCCAGCTTTCTCTTGTAGGCCTCCAGCAGCACCTCTGCTGGGATTGGCTCGACAGGCAGCAGGTTCTCCTCGTCATCTAACACATAAGAACATGGTAAGAACATTCTGCAAACTCCAGGCTGTGCTTTCATATTTCATTGTAATATTTTGTATTGTTGTGTGTGTGTGTGTTTTGGGGCAGTTCGATTAACACACGCTCCTTTATATCTGCAGTCTGTGCAAAATCTACTGCGATTGGATAGAGAAGTTCACTGGTTAGGTTCACTCACTTGCTGGTTGAATAAGCTCCATGTGTTCATTCATATCACTGTAAAGAGAACATCATAGGGTTACAGTTACAATTAGACATAGTTGATTCCTTAAAAATCCTAGAAATTAATTAACCATCAAGTGCCAGACCCAGTGTAGCTTTTAAATACAGAAAGACAAAAATAAGGCAGGGAAAATTCAAGACTAGTTGGAAGTTGACCTTCACACCAAGAGAAAAAAAAATGCTGCTTAAATCCTTGACTATTTTTGTATCTATTAGTTATGAGTAAAGTACAATTCAGTTACATTTACAGAGATTTTTTTTTCATAAACTAAGGTTTCGTTAGTCCATCAATTAAGACACACAATAAAATGCAGCCACAAACCATTGCATAGCCTTAGAGACTTCTCCTGACCTCAACTTGGTACACTTACTGCATTTCTACTCATTTATATTTATTTGAAATACCCCTTTAAATCTGTTTCTCATCACAATTGTAATGTAAAAATGTCGTGGCCAACATACAGTGGCCAAATTGCAAAGTGGTTTTGCTAAATCTAAAAGGACCTGAAGTAATGTAGTCTGGTGAAAATGGGACTACACAGAGAAGCAACGGTATCTGTCTTTCTGGGGTGTAAAAATCTGCACATCACTAAACATGTAAATGTAGCACTGACTGGGACTTCCTCCTCTTCAAGACGACGATCTTGTAGAAGACAACCAGAAGGGCCACAGACACGAGTAGAATGAGAAAGATGAGGAAACCGATGACAGCCTTGTCATTATCTGTACAAATGGTGTTTACAAGAAACCACTGTCAAAACACGGCATTAAGTGTTTTTAATGTCAAATCAGGGTCAAAAAAAAAAAAAAAAGATGAAACAGATCAACAGGATATCTTTTGTGACAATTTACGAAAAGAGACTTACAGCTGGTGCTGACCGTTTCAGTCACAGGTGAGCTCTTATGGAATCCGTTGAAGGCAGTCACCTGGAAACGTATGGGGAAAATTCCCTTCCTCAGCTGCTATAGCATTATCAAAAACTGTGAGTTTTAAAATTAAAGCGTGAATACAGACCTGTACCGTGTAGGTGGTGAGATATCCGAGGTTGTCGAACATAAAGAGACATGTTCTGCTTTGCAATGTTTTTATTTCACTACCATAAGGGGTACTGAGTTTTACTATGTATTCAAGACGTGGGCCATTCTGCTCTTGGGGGCTGCCACAGTTCACTGTGATCACATTGTGTGCTGTGAGATGCAACTGCACATTTTTAACTTTATCAGGGTCTGTAAGAAAGTTGAAAAAACATGTAAGTGTATAATATAAACAATAATTCAAAACACTCTCCCCACTTCTCTTAGTTAAAAAGAGGCTAACAGTGTGCAGTGTGCAGAAGTCTGAGGTGGCTGTAAACATTTGCTGTGCTCCCCTTTTAATGCAGCCTCATTTTCTTTCAGGGATTTAAAGCAAAGATATCTTAATATTATTAAAGTCCTGATGGTTATTTTACATACATATTGTCATCGAGTGTGTCAGTTACGTACATCCAGCCAGAGTTGTCCCGTTGACTTCAGTTCGTGTGGGTATTTCCCTTCCATTGTATTTGGGTTGGACCGAACAGGTGTAAGTGGTGAAAGGTTTTAAGCCAGAGATTGTACAGTCTTTTTGACCTGACCTGAGTTGACCTGGTACTGCTGTAATGAAATAATAATGATTAATAAAGATTTTATTTTCTTTTTTGGGGTCAAGTTTGTATGTTATGTAAAAACAAAATGAATGTTAATCCACATGCTTTAGATACAACCAACAAGTAAAATATTGAGGTGATCTTTCTCAGTCAGCCTCAATGTGATGTGACAGACTGCCTTTCATTGCAACAAAAAAGGATGTTTATTTCACAGAAATTTCACTTACGTTCCTGACCAGGCTGCTTACAGGAGCAGGAGTATGAAAACCTTTCGTTGTCTTCACAGTTCCTGATGATCGTGTTCCAGCTCAGATGAACAGACTCAGCTGATGGCATATGGTTGATCTTTATAGTAATTTCTATTAAAACACAGCAGACACTGGTCAATGACACTGTCTGACAGATGGATGGACAAATGGATGGATCAGTGGATGATGCAGGGACGGATAGATATATAAATCGCTGGATGGGGGGATGTGTGGATGGACGAACAAATGAATGCATGAATCGATGGTTGAGTGATTGGATTGATGAATGGATGATGAATATGTAGATTGTTGGATGATGGATAAATGGATTTGTGGATGGATGAATGATAGATGGAAGGATGGACAAACGGACGGATGATTAATGAATAAGTTGATGGACGGATCACTGATAAATGGATGATGGATTGATAGATTGATAGGCAGATAACAGTCAATAGTCAACAGTCAATTCAAGGGTGTGAATCTCATAAAACTGACTCAATAATTAAATAGAGAAGGGATAATAGAACAGAAATGACTAGAACAGAATGGAATAGAAACACCACAGTCGCCAATGTGAGATAATTAAATACTGACAGTCGCTGCTCAGTTTACCTGAAACAAGCAATTGAGGCTGAATTTAGAGAAACAGAACAACAATAGAGGAATTTAACAACTAGTACAATGAACACGATCATTTTTTTATGAAGAGTAGACAAAATGTTCCCAGAATGCAGTTCTGCAGATCAACTTCAACATACCACATTTAACCGTGAAGTTAAGGGGAGGCGTCTCTTTGATTGTTTTGTTGTACTGTCTGATGTGACCAATACATTCGTAGTTCTTGTAGGGCTCCAGTTCCTTCAAAGCCTGAGACCAATTTCCTCTGCCCGGTTCTGCGGAGACACAGAGATGACACTCAATATGAAAAAGTCCCTTCATTTACATTTAAGTCAAATTATTTGAAGTCTCTCTTCTTACCCCGACATTTATATTCAATGGACACGTCTTCACACTTTGGGGGCAACTTTGCATCAATTGTCGCAGGGATTGAAGTTGGAATCATCTGATTTATATCACTTGGATTGAGGAAATCTATGAAAGAAAGCAAGTTGCTGAAAAGGATTGAACCAAAAACAAAAGGCAAAAATCCAACAACAGTGGTTAATGCACCCAAGAAAATCATTTTATTATCAAACTGGTGATGTTGGAAAGGCTGAAAGTGAAGTTGACCTTTGCCACATGACATAATTTTATGTGAAACAAAAGTACTGGTGCACATGATTAAAGTGATTAATGTGGTTAAATGTGTGTATTCATACCAAGAGTGATGAGCTTGTAGAAGGGAAAGGTCGAATGGCAGGTTTGTGATCTCCAGTTTATAGTAAAGTTGGAGCAGATATCATCCAAACTTGGTTTGACACAGTATATGTTTTGTCTACTTGGCAGACAATATGAAAACCCAGGTTCTGAGCTGAAAGACTTGACGTTCCATCCAGTTTCATAACAAAGGTGTCCGATTGTGCAAGTGTTGACTTCTTTAATGTCTTTTTCAGCTAAAATATGAAAAGAAAGCAAGCGTGAAAATTTTACTCAAAGCACAAATCTGAATAAGAACAAAAAAAAAAAAATCAGGTACACTCACCAACTGTGTTAGTACTAGTTGCAGTTCCTGTGCTGTTGCAGGAAATTTCCTTCCCAGCCTTAAAAAAACTCACATGATGTTCGTATTTGGTGCAGGGCTTCAGTTGTATCTGTATATGTGATGAGTTGGGACTGGTGTGATTAACCGATGAGGGAGTGCTTTTTTCTATTTGTTGACCTTCTTCATTCAGGGTAATGTTGTACATTCCAGTAGGTGAGTCTAAAATGTTGATCTGAAAGCCATACTGGATGGAATCTACTGTGTAAAAACCTGTGAGTAAATATGTTAAAACAAAATGCAGAAATTAGCATAAAAGGGGTGAAATAATATTTAAATATCACAAATTATTACGTGTGGATGTTATTTCCTAAATATTTGATCAATAAATCTCATTGTTAAAGTTGAATGATTAAAAATACATGATTAAAGAAGATGGAGTATTGCTTTGTGTAGTGACAGAGATGTGATGTGAAACAGTAAAAACATAACTTCTTACACGACTCAGAGACTGGAGCGAGTGTTGACAGGTTGAGTGGGGGTTTGTGGGCAGTTGTCACAGCAGCGGTTGCTGCCGTGATGGTTGTAGGTGAGGTTACAGATACCAAAGAAGAGTTTCTGTTTGTGGTTGGAGGTGAGGCTGAAATATATGTTGTTTCAAGAATAATTTAAAAAAAACCTTTATAAAGACAAAATTCAATGTCGTTAAACAAACTCAGCACTCGGAATCAGTGAAACCCGTTGTGTTTACTGCTCGCAAATTAATCAACAAATGAGACCTTTTCCTGCAATTTGCAATTTGCATCATAAATGATTAGCTTCAAGAGGTCTGCATGTCTTCAAGTGACAATTATAAATTGATGAATTGCCGCATATTAAAAGGGACGCAAGACGTGATCCACCTTTAACAGGGTGTGTTGCAAATGAAACTAAACCAGCAAAACTAAGTTCAATTGGTTTAAATTTTAGGAGGATAAATCCAAAAGCCAAATGAATGATTGCCATTAGCAAAGTACAATTAAGTTTTTGTTGCAGTTGTTTTCAACATGAACATGAACAAACTTTTCTGGAAAATAATGTGTAAAATATGCAATGTTAAAAGTTATAATATATATATATATGTATATATATATATATATATATAAACGTATACTCACAGCTTGGTTCTAGTCCTGAGGGTGTGGCTGGATTTTGGATAAAAAGAAAACGACATCAGCAAAGAGCGCATTTATGTATTTATTGAGTACAAGCTGAGCCTACAAAAGTCATGCTTTCACTTTACATTTTTCTATGTTCATTTGAATCTGAAAACTTGTGCCATAAAATAAAATATAAAAAATTCCAACCTTGTGTGGCGCTGACTGAATTTGAAATCTGGTTTGGAGAGGAGGTTTGGTTGCTGCTTATGGATGAGGCAGGAGTGGCTGCAAGATGGAGAACACCTTCAAGTTAACAACACTTCACTGCCAGCGTGTTGACCTGATATAACCAGCTGCTAGCATTTCAGATTTTTCATTGGGCAAAAAAGCAGCAAAACAGAAGCTCAATACATAAAGACATAATCCAATGTCATTAAACAAACCCAGAACCAGGAGTCAACAAACCCATTCTGTTTACTTTTCTTCCAAAGATGGTGCTGCTAGTGGACTGTTAGTAGTAGACTGTGTTCTGCTCATTTTGCAATAGAAGAAAATGTACACAACAATAAATGAGACCTTCTCCTGCCTGGTGTGTAAATGACCTCCTTCACAGGATATAAACACAAACCTAACTCTATGTAAGGATAGTAATTTAACAGCATGGTGTATGATGATAATTTCTGACACTAGTTTCTCTCATGTTCTCCAAAAATGGAGCAAATTGATTTAAATATGATATGTTTTTAAATACCTAGTTGTCATAGGGACAGAGTGCTGTCAAAAAAACCCCAAACACATCTGGTTTATTAGAATAGTTTATGTTGATAGAACTACACGACACTGTTTTAAATACCAACAGCATAGTTTTGTCACATGTCATTGTTTAATGTCAGTTAATTTATGGGAAACAACTCACCTTTTTCAGTCTGACCTGAAAGTAGAAAAAAACGAAAGAACAGGTAAATACTTTTATCTTCTTTGTCAACACATATAAATGCCCATATTAATTAAAATTAATAAGTGTATAAAAAAGAAGTAACCTGAATAATAAATTAATTATTAAAAAATAAATTGACCACCAACAAGCTAACTACTTACGAAACGAACGGACTAACTAACTCGCTGAGTAAATTAGCACCAAGTCACTTGTAATAGACGGATTTGACAACATAACCACGTGACCTTCCCTCTTCCCATTGGATGAAAGTCCAGCACATAGGATAGTGTTCCATTATAACAGGTAACAGGAACACAAGCGATCTGGTAGTTCCGTTAAACCGTTTTTGTCGTGCTGCTCTGATAAAAACAAACACCAGCGATATATATTTTTAAAATTATTTTTACTTTTATTTCCTTTTTATAAATGGGCAGCCACGTTTAGATTAATTTCAACCGACTTTAAGAAGCATCTGGTCGAGTGGGAGAAGCTTTCCGTTAGCTTCCTCGGAACTACTTTAATGAACGTTTTAAGTGTAGGAAATTCCCCTACTCCTACTGGAACGAGCCCACGCCACAATAAATGATATTATTTTGGAAAGGAAAAGTGATTTAATCGGCCTTGGACTTCACTGTGTCATTGTGCACCGGTCTGTACTCACGACCAGTATATTTGTTTCATTGAGTGAGGCAACTGTGTTCAACTTAGTTGCAATAACAACAGGACATAGGTTTTTTATGTTATTTCAGAATACTAACCACCATTTCCTGCCTCATACTAACATTCACTAAAATTGTTTCAGTTTGCACCAATCGCTGAAGTGATACAGAACATTTATTGAAAACGGTAAATTGTTTTCAGCTCTTTTTAAGTCATGGCATCAGTGTTTGGAACAAAATAAATCCTTTTGTGCTTTCAGACAAATAAAGATTGGTTCTCGTAAAAGCAGCATGTAGAGACATGATGCTGGGACAGTTGAAAACCTAGTCTCAGGATGTGGTTTTCATGTGTTGTTGTCTGAGTGTATCTTGCAGAGATGCACGCTCACTGCAGTGACATTTGACTCCTCTGTGCAACCTTTTCAAGTTTGGCGGTGACTCATTTAAATTGTTCATTTCACATCGTCTGTGATGAATGGCAATGAGATGCAGGGAAAACATGACGGTAGGAAGTTAAATATCTGACACTGGACGAGGATTAAAATTTAAACAAAACACCAAATGAAATGGCAGCAACTATAGCAGCGAAGAAATCAACACATGATTCTATATGTTCAATTTCTCGCTCCATATTCCCTCGCATCACAGAAGAGTCCCACTGCTTTGTTACAAGCAATTTTCCTCTTGGCTGAGAAACTGCTCTTATTTACAGCACACCCTCAGGGCCACACTTCTGCAATTTTTTTTTTTTTTACCCCGCCTCTTCCATATTTTTACTCTTCATGAACTCTGAGGGTTTTTTTGTTCGTCTTTTCAGTCTGCATTGATCTGATGGGCTCTGCTCTACCAGGAAATGTAGACAACTCAGAATGGAACAAGGAAGTGGTCAACTTCTGAACACACAACTCCTACATGCACCATGATCTAGTGCTTGCTTCAGAGCCTTCAGCTATAAATGGGAAACAGAAGTCCGACCAGGTTCAAGTACATTCACCATGAAATATGAATTTGATTTAAGTACAGCTGAGTACCGACCATACTGTTAGCCATTCCTCGTAGCATACAAATACTTACAGGATTGTTACAAAATACACCAAGACACTAATATGATGTCACTGTGGGCCAAACAGGCAAAGCTAATTCTGACACAAAGGCCTTTAACACACACAAAAAAAAAAAAATTAAAAAATGACATATGTATTTCAACGCATTGAGAAAACATACAGTTGCTAAGCTTGTTAAGAAGCAGTTTAGAATATGTCAATGAACACCAGATGTTTCAGGAGAAACTGTAAGAGCTTATTGAAATTTAAAGAAAAAACTTAAACCTACAGTAATCCTGAACACTAACTAACCTTAACCCCAGAAACATATATTGGGTATTCTTTTATTTGTAATACTCAGAAATCTAAATTTTGTCATCAACAAATTTGGCTCCATTATTTGACAAAATGAACAATATTAAATACATACATGGATCAGTGACCCACTAAAATAGCTTTGTAGAAGCCCACCATTTAAGAAACACCAGATCTGTGACAACCACTGTACTGTACTGTACTGTACTGTACTGTACTGTGACGTACTGTACTGTAATATACTATAAACAAGTTACTACTTAATCACTGGTTATATTGTAAGTAGTTTATATGCTAATCATGAATGTTGGTCACTTAGTCAAATACAGTGGTATTTTGAACCACAATGACACAGAGCTGCTGCTCAACAAAAACAAACAAACAAAAAAAAACTCATTGAGAAAAAAATAAATTAAACAGGTTTTAATTTTGTATCGTAATTCAGCTCCTGTGAAAAAATATCTTAAATGAAAAAAGCAGAACTACTGGTGATGCTATAGAGGCGTGCACTGCACACACACGCACACACACACCCGCGAACACTCTCAAACTCTCACACACACGCAATAATGTCAAAGCAGAACAGAAACAAGACTACAATTTCCCATTTCTTTTAAGGTTATCCTAAAAATATAATTAAACCGAACATTTTTGTTCTTTTGTGAAAGGCAGTCACTAACGTTGTACATTATTACTTAACTAATCACTGACATAAGACTATAAGAAACGCAAAGTAGTACAGAAATGTCCCAAAGAAAAACAAAACCAACAAAAATCTCACTTATAAAAAGAAGGTTTTTTTGTAGTTTTGATATTTTCTCAGTTAATTTTTCCTTTTTTTTTTTTTTTTGCTGAAAGTGACAGATTCCACCTCCATCTTATAACTTTTTAACTGACATTTAACCGTTTTTTTTTTATTTCCACTTGACCAGTTACAAGGACACATTTTCAGTTTCTACTATGTCTACATTCTCAGAGTAACGACCTTAAAATAAAACAAACTATAAGCATTCAATTTGATTTGGTTACTCACATTTGCCGAAACCAATCATCCCAGCCCAGAGCAGCAGGATCTTGAGAGCAGAGAGACCTGCCATATCCAGGAGTTTAGGGTGTGTACTGCCACAACCATTCAGCACCAACAGGCACCAACAGACAGATATTCGGATGTTGGACCGACGACTGAATTTTCACTTTTCTCACACGATTCAAGGAGAGAAGTATGTCAAAATGTCTGTCCCACTTTAAAGCCTCATATGTTTTCTGTCTTATCAGTTGGCGCAGCTTCCTGGACCTGTTCCCCAAACCTTAAACCTCGCCTTTGCTGTAGAGTCAAGTGAAGAAGAGTGATGTCACATCAAAAAAAAAAAGAAAGAAAAAAAAGAAGCAGCCTTCACCTTAATGTTGAAGTGACAGGAAACTGTGTCTTAGCTACGCCACCAAGAACAGGAAGTCACACAGTTAATCTGCTCTTGCTTTGGCTCAAGTGTGAAAAAATAAGAACGGCAAAAACTCAATCTGTGAACATAAACACACACTGAGGATGGCAGGGTTATGTCGTCCGAAAAGGTGAATATCTTTGTTTAAGGATGTTATTCTGAGAATAAAGTGGTAGAAACTGAAATTGTTTTTTTATCTGCTGGAGTGATTTTTTTTAAATATCTGCCCTGTAAGACATTCACATCAATTCATTATTTGCTATGAATTGTTATTGTGCTGTACGTTAAAGTTGACAATGGCAAATACCAAGAAACTAACAGAAAAAGTCCCCTTCTGGGACTGTGTGGTGATTGGAGTTTTTTTAAATATCTGCCCTGTTATTGTGCTGTACGTTAAAGTCCCCTTCTGGGACTGTGTGGTGATGTCAGTCAGGATAAAACACACATTTAAGTTATAGAAAAAACATTTGAAAATGGATTGAAATGTGAAAAGTAAAAAAAAAAAAGGTTTCATAAATGGTGATCTCACTTTTGAAAAACTGCAGGTCTAATTTTGGATTTCCTCTTTGGCCATGTGTTAATGTTTGACACGCCTTCGATCTTAGAAGAAATCCAAATTGTTTGGTTATGAAGCGATCAAAACAAGCGATGGAAAGACAAAATATTGTTTATACTCATTGATGGTAAGTAAATATTTAAATGATAGAAGTTACTGTGATTTTGAACAAACTCTTGAAGATCCATCAGGGTGGATGGTTGGAAGAAACTGAAGGAGTTACATTAAAAAAAAACTAAAACTTCATAGAAACGTACAGGGAAATAAAGGCCTCTACAAAACACATATTTCCTCTATTAGTATAGGAAAACAAGCTAGCTCAAACCTCTCCTCTCCTCTCTTTTCTTCTTCTACTCTCTCCTCCCCCCTCCCTCCCTCTCCCCTCTCCCCTGCTCTCTTTTCTTCTCCTCTCCTCACAAATAGTACAAGTTGCAGTAACAGCTGTGACCACAGGGCTTTCTTGTAGTTGCAGTAACAGCTGTGACCACAGGGCAATGTGCGGATGTGTCACACCCAGATACACATATTTTTATCTTTTCTCTTTGCATAGTGCAGCAACACTCACAAACCTGGGTGAAGCATTCACACCTGTCTGTCTGTGATTCACTGTTTTTTCACACCTGGCTTTTAGTTTCTCAGTAGTTCTAACTCCTTCGATTACATTTGATGAAAGCTAATGAAGAAAAACTTTTAATTTGTATAGTATATTTAAAAAAAAGTCAGATGGGTCAGAAGAATAGAACAAACAAACCCAAAACAATATTTTAACCCTTGACAAAAAAACAAAACAAACAAACAAACAAAAAAAAAACATTCACCAAGATTCTTTGGTTCTGAAGTCCTGGTCATTTGAATGGCTTCTAATGTTTAAAGTTGCATGTTGAAAAGCTAATATAAAGTTTATTACATGTATATAAAGTCATATTTGATATAATATAAAGTATTAGCATTTTTATTAAGTTCTTTTTTGAATAACAACACACATACTCTATGATAAAGTAAAATAAAACGATAAACTAGAAAGCAGCAGAGAACATAGTTAGCAACAGTTAGCTGGTTAATATTTACCCTCTTTACATGGTACTTACTAATCAAGACTCGTAATAACTGGGCCAGTTATTTTGAGGATTTTATAACTAACTGCTCTCTAATATAACACACCACTAACAACAACATCGCAATTTTTGCCAAAACAATCACGACTTGAGAAATGATGCTATGAAGCTAACTCATGCTAACAAACCACCCATGCTAGGCTACTATTGATCAGCTGAACTGTCAGTCAACAACACTAGTCACTGCCGCCCATTCTGACTTAATGTTGTAAGTTACATGTTTTCTGACATCACCCTTAAGTGGAATAGAAGTCTATAGGTGTCAGAAAATGTTTCGGCTGCTATTTTTATATATGAAACATCTACATCTAATTTCCCTTTGGCTTTATGACTGATTTAATACATTTTCACTTGTGTCTCTCGTCACAGGCAAAAGCAGTCAAAAAAAAAAAAATCACAGGCAAAAGCAGTCAAAAAAACCCCCAAATAAACACAACAAAAAAATAGAAAAAATGCCCCTGAGAGAAGGTAAAACCATTTGATTTGTTTTTTTAAGAATTGTCAAAGAGTTAAATGAAATGACGCAGACCTGCTGTGTCTTTTATAGAAGGGCAGTGTTGTGTGTCAGAACATCTTTGCATTTCCTCTTTTTGACTTCCTGTCTGCTCTCTTTTAGCGCAACGTGTCATTGTCATCTGTAACTCTGTTGGGCTTTTATGCCGCTTCAACCGCAGCCTTCAGTGTTCCACGGAATCCAAAGCTTTGAGTTTGGCTCATGAAAGATATTTAATTTTTCTTCAGATCTCTACAGTAAACCTGGGCCTCATGTTGTGTTACTCCCACAACAAAGTCAGGCCTCCTCCACCCCCAGAGTTTTTACAACCTGCTCGTTTCATCTGTAATGGTGCAGCGGCAGCCTTATACCGCTTGAGGGCAGTGTGGCTTCATGTTGTATCACAGCCATCCCCACACTTTTATTTCCCCTTGGTTGTTTTTTTTTTTTTTTTTTTTGGGGGGGGGGAATATCGAATAGTCTGAATGTATTATAACTACACACGCACACAAACATACACACACACACATACACACACACACGCTCGACACACTTGAGCAACATTTGGACTCCTTCTGGTTCCTCTCTGCCGATGACTGGCAGCTTCTTAACGAGAGCAGCCTGGAGCGTTTGCCCTCCAGGCCTGTACATCAACCATCAACACACACACACACACACACACTTGAACATGCACGCCCACTTCCAATATTTATATACACAAGCAAATCATCCACATACACACAATTTGCTCTCCATTTCTGGGCGCACATCCTGCGTGTCCATTTCTCTGCCTCCGTCAGTGTGTGTCCGTCGGTGAAGGATAGTTTGACAGTCACCAGGAGTCGCTCTGGTTCAGTAGCATCATTATGTTTCTATGAGGCCAGACTCAACCAAGGCAGGGAGAATGTCAGCCATTCAATGAGCTTCAGTACAAACACATTACAAGACCAAACAATGCTGCCGAGGGTCGACTGGAGTGCACATGGATGTGTGTGTGTGTGTGTGTCCCGGTTATTGGACGGCATAGCCGGACAGGTGAAGATGGACACCCGGAGCAGCACATTCCCCGCTGCACCCTCCTCCAACCTCCTCATGATTCATTCCCTTTCTCACCTCTGTTCTCCATTCTCTTTTCTCTTTTCTTCTCGCAGGAGAAAAATCCCAATTAAAATACCACGTGGATGGATACGATGAAGAAAGACATACCTCCACCGTGACATCCCCTCTACCCCCCGTGTAGTGACAGATCTGGTACGTTCAAACTCAGGTGAAGAAAAAAAAAAAAAAAAAAAAAAAGTGCCTCACATAGCCGCCCCTCCCGCTGCCATTAAATGTTGATGTATCATATACAACATATACTGGGCGACAACAGATAAATATATAAATCTGCTGTAATATATGAATATGCTACGGGTTTGGACGTGGACGTGGACGTGGACGTGAGGGGGAGGAGAAGGATTTTCCCTTATGCCAAACCAATACCTGATGCTGCAAGAGTGTGATGAGGCATCCATGTTTTATTTTGCCGCCCCCCCCCTCACATACACACAGACACACACTTATGCGTTTTGTCTATGTACATCTCTCACCTACTCCTCTTCTTTCATTCTTGTTTTTCCTCTTTTCCTGACCCAACATCCTGCTTGTACACACACACACACACACACACACACACACACCTCGTCTATCACTCTCTGGATTCATGAACTGCCAGTCAAACCAACAGCTGCTGCCCACAGACCTAACACTGGGGTCAGAGGCTGGAGATAAGTGTGTGTGTGTGTGTGTAAGCTGCTCACATGCAGATGACGGAGACACACACCCTGGGTCAAGGGTGTGTAATCTCACCCAGCAGCAGCAGCAGCAGCAGCAGCACAGGTCTCCCCCCCCGCCCTGTCCTCTCCCCCTGCTGTGGGGACATGTTTAACTGCAGCAAACAGCCATTCATCACCGAGGACGTCCAGAGAGACACCGAGTCTCACAACATCCCAGCTCTGGACCTCCAGTGGCCGCTTAGAAATCTGGACGGCAGTTCACTGACCCAGAACTGAAGAGTCAGCTCGCCCGGGTCCACGAGGAGCAGCGCCTCTTATCTGGTGACCACGAGAACACTGGCGTTCCCGGGACGGCACTGGACCAGTGGTTGAACTGATTAGTCCGTCACCCAGTCATGTCCGACTGAGGGTGACAGTAAGCAGAGTACCACAGACTGGAGGATTTTCATTTTAACACCTACTTTTTGGACACAGTTATAACTTTATTGGTGAACCTTCCCCCCAAAACCAGGGTCAAACTCCTAGACCTGGAAAGAACTGGACATAAAAGTAAGACGGAGAACAAACGTATTAATATTTTAGCAGTAACCTGTAAAACTGTTGTTGTAAATATTAATCCTGGACACAAGAAAAAGGATGTTGGTGCCCACACACACAGGGTCATAAAGGTCATTAATGTACCCTGTCACATGGAACATAACCAAATAGGGTGAGGTTAAAAAAAAAAAGAGAAAAGTTTTAATTATTAAATTAGGCACATGCGTCAAACTCAAGGCCCGCAGGCCGAATGTGGCCCTCCACATCACTTTAATATGGCCCTTCAGAGCTTATCATGGATATGGTTGTCTTAAAATAAATGTTTATCTTAGAGTTTCTTCACCCATAGTGAAACGGAACAGAAACTTCTAATGAAAACTCAAATGTCTATAAATGCTGTGCTGAAAATGTACTGGCCTGAACAAAACGTTTTA